GGATACAGGCAGATGATACAGATTTTATTAGAATCCTCTATCTGCCATCAAGTCCTTCATAGCACCCAAAACCTAGCTGTTAAAAAGCCAAATACCTGTGACTAAGTCAGATAATGTCCCATTTTTTGGTAGGGTTACCCAACCTGCTGCCTCTGAGACCAGCTCTGAACATCCCCATGGACCCCAAACTCCACCTTGCTGGACTCTGTGGGCACTGTGCATCCAGAAGGGAGGGAGGAAGGCTGAAATCTCCCTCTGCAAGAGCAGGGAGGCCCCAGTGAAGCCCTGCTGCTTGCAGGCTGATAAGCAGAGGTGGAAAGGGGAATTGAGGGGTCATCCAGTCCCTGGAGATGAAGCTGTTCTTAGAGCTGGGCAGAAATAAAACTGTGATTGATGAGCAAGACTTTGTGAATGAAGCCAGAAGTTTGTACATGAAAAGAATGGATTGTGAAGAATTTCAGAACTTTTAAAAGGCAAGGAAAAAAAAAGTCTAAAATGCCAAAATAGAGGGTGTGGGCAATTCCAGAGGGGCCTTTTCTTCTACAATTGAAGAAAAATCAGTTAAAGAAAATAGAGAGGAAAAAAGTCAGTATCAAAACACAGCATGGTGTTTGACCAGATACCATTTCACTCCACCAAAATCCTCATTTCAGTTTGAAGAAATCATCAGAACAATCCTCCAATTGTCACATATCCATCGGATGGTACAAGCCCTTCCCACTGCAGAACCTACAAAGAAACTACTCTCAGCACCTTCCTTCCAAATCCAGTTATTTTTTGGCTCTATCTCCAACTCTGAAACACCATGATAGAGAACCTGGAACCTCTGACCTTGTCTGGTGATGCCTTTAATCCCAGCATTTTACCCAAGACCATCTTCAAAATGAACTCTATTTTTTTGAATTGCAAAATTTTCTTTCTACTTTGCTCTGCAGAGCTGCCTTTTGGTTTTGAAGCTCTGGACACAGTTGTGTTAGGGCTCCCTGAGCTGGGACCACATGGGGGAATGATTTAAAGCAATGATTGTCAAAGCAAGCACGAGCTCGTTGTCTGGCAGAGTGCCAGCATGGGCTGTGCTGTGTGAGGAGAGCTGCATGGATTAGGTTTTGCTTTTGACGTTGGTGCCTTGGCTTTTGTCCTTTGGGTGGCATTGCTTGCACGGGAAGGGAGGAGGAGGCAAACTGAGAGGAGGCCAAGATGGAGAAGATGCACTTCAGCCAGCAGATGCCACTGCTGGGTGTCTGTGCCACTCAGTGTGCCCCAGTGCTTTGTGCTGAGACCCAAAATCAGTGTGGGAATGTCTCAGGGGTTCCCCTCCTGAGCTGGCTGCAGGGCAGGGGGATAAGCAGCAGCCCATGCTCAGTGCTCCTCTGAGTGGCAGCAAGGAAGGAAAGTGAGCATCCTGGGGTTGGTGTGTATTGGCTGAGCTGAGCAGGTGGGCTCCTTGCATCCAACAGTGGTGGGGTTTTATGTGGCTTTAATGCAGGACTTTGTTCAGAATCTTTTTTTCTTCTTTGATTTGGCTCTGCTTTTTCTTCTCCATACCTCCTCAGGTTATAAATGGATTTTCATTTTGTGTTAAAGGCCACCAATGTTTGTGTCAAGCTTTGGAAACAACCTTTGCCCTCTCTGTCCTTTTGTCTTTCCTCATCACCACAGAAACATCCCAAACTTTTTCTCATAGCCACAGAAAGCTGGAAAATACAACTGACATTTGTGATTCAGAACCCTCTCAAAGCACAGCTGACACCACAAATAACTCAGAGTGTTTTCAGGACTATGTGGGTGTTTGTCTCAACCCCTTGGTAGGGATGGCTGTACATGACTGTGTCTCACCTACTTTTTTGTTATATGTCATATATCTTAGGCAAAATATTAATTTATATGTATGATATTCATTTTGTATACACAGATACAATTCAGCCTCATTTGGGGAGCCCCAGTTACCCAGAATTTTAACTGGCAGATGAAGCAGGGAGTTCTGTTGCAGTAAGTTCAGCTGCTCACAAGGTTCAGTGGTGGGATGCAGCTGCAGATTTGGGGTTGTAAGAAGAATCCCAGCTTTCTGAAATCCCAATGATGAGTCTTAAGTTCATATGACTGATGGAAAGAATAACTCAATGGGAATCTTTCCCCCACTAGAAGAGACTTCCACATAATTAACTAATCCCCTATTCAGGCAAAAATCCTATGGGAAAAGGTTGGGTTTTGTTCTGAATAAAACATGGTAAAATCCACACTGAGAAAAACAATGGCTGACATAAAATGGTATGCTTACAGTGACATACCTGAGCAAATATTGTACTTCCTTTTGGCTTAATTAGTGCCATGTGTTAAAACGATAAATTTTCTTTCTCTGTGTTAAGCAAAAAATCCTCCTATTAGGTCCTCAAAGCCCAAATATTTGTCTGAATGACAAAGGCAATATTTTTGCCCAAATTCAGCTGTTTGAAATGCATCATTTACAGGACAGAGCACTGTTTTTGTTGGACTCTATAGTGCAGAGCTAGAAGAGTAACACAGATTTTGGTTGAGATTCCCATGGCTTCACAGGATTACTCTTTTTTGGGGGAGAAGTGTTCCTCAAACAAAAATGATGATGGATTTAGAAGCTGAATTCTGTGTCCTTTCCTCATGGAAGTCTCCTTTGTCCCTATCAGGTATCTCAAGTATTGTATTCCAGGAGCTCTACAGGACACATGCATAGAAAAATTCAACATCAAACCACCCTTTTTTAGCTAAAACCTGTCTTCCTGAAAGATGTCTGAGTATTTGTTTACAGCCTTCATGTGACAGAGGATCCACCAGGTGCCCAGGTACTTTCTCATACTACTTGATTACCCTCACTCAAACCCACACAACAGATTTGTAGTTTGAAGTGTTGTGGGATCCACTCTTGGCATTTCACCCCTACTTATTCTGCTGAGCGAAGCTGCTCACTTTCATCACATATCACATATCCCTCCCCTAAGCATAGGGCAGGGATATGTGATACCCCTCAACATATTTAAGGATGGGTCTAGGCTGAGCCTCCCTAGTCTCCTGCCATGAAGCCCGGCTTCCAAAACTAATGTAATTCCTCTCACTGTTCCTCAGAGAAGGGTTTTGCTAATGCTGTACATGAAAATAATGCAACATTTCTTCTTCTGCTTGATATTCCCCTGCTCGTATCTACAAGGGCCACATTTGCTGCTTTATTTACAGCACCACACAGAGTTTGCATTCAGTGGGTTGTGCACAATCCCCCCTCAGTCCTTGACACCACTGCTGTTTGCAGAAGACATTTGCCTTTTGTTTATCTTTGAAGTGTGTTCCTCCCCGCTGGACATATGACTTTGCCTTTGACTCTGCTGTTGAACAAGCCCTTTTCATCAAACAACCAGAGTTAGGCAGCCCAACTGACTCATTTCCAGCAGGAATTGCTATTCTGCCCACTTTGGGGTCATGGACACTTTTTGCCATCAGGGATTATATATTTTATTTCACATCTTTCATAAAGATACTGAAGAATACTGAGCAAAAAGAAAATCTTACTGCGAGTCTATAAAAACATGCACTGCATACTAATGTCTCACTGATCCTTATTTTCTAAAATACATTTTGTTACTTGTTGTTAGTCCACTGAATAAGGGCCACATGGATATCTTTAGTGTTGCTTAATCAAAATAAGACTAAAGAAATTTTTTCATCAGTGGTTGCTTCCATCAACCAAGTTCTTGTAATTTAATTTAATAATTGTTTTTATTTTTAAATAGTTCCTCTTGATCCTTGTTGGCAAATTCTTTTTGCTTAGGGGATAGGATATATATATTTTTTTAAATTTCAACCATATTGGTGCCCAGGCCTACATTTTGCTGGCACTTGTGAAATGGAATAACATTGTGATCCTTTGCATCTAGAAAACCATCATTTTCTAACCTGATGTGCAACTGATTATGTTCTACAAAACCAAGGTTTGATGCAGAAATACCCCAAGCTGATTTCAAGTATTTTTATATAGTTTATATATTTAGAAACTTATATACAGCTTTTAGAAACGCCAGGGATGCTTCTGCACTAGTAGCACACGACCTTCAGTATCTGCTTCCCAGCCTTAAATCTCCAATCAGACATAAAGGATGAATCCTGTCTCTGCACTCCGGGGTGGTCTGCAGTGGACACTTCACCCTCCCAGGACTCCTCCCCGGCCAAGGGAGCCTCTGTTTGCATTGGGATTTCCAGGCATTTTGGGCTTTACCCAAAGAGTATCTACGGCATGTCAGACCGCCTTTGATGGAGACTGCCCTTCCTCTCTCCCTCCTTCCCTCCCTCTTGTCTTGCCAGGCTGTAGCAGTGATTCCAGCATCCCCATCCTCTGTATCATCACAGGGACGCTCAGTAATATCCATCATCTCACACAAATATTTCCCATTCTTTCGACGTAGCATCAATCTGATGGTTGACTACTCCAATATCTCCATTAAGTGCCTGTATTTTTGTTGAATTTTGTACCTGGCTGTGGCTGCTTGGTTCCATCTCCTCCCTGGTCAGAGGAAATGGAAGTGCTGCAGCGGCTGCAGTCTCGCAGACCCGAGGACGGAGCAGCAGCGGACAAACAGCGCCAGGACCGACCCCGGGGGCTGCGGCCCGGGAGCGGGAGACTGTGAGTGCAGAGAGGGGACCCCGCCATGCCATGGGGGACAGCCCCACAGGGCTGGGGACAGCTGCCAGGGATGGCCAGCGGGTTCGGGAGGCCCCGGCGCTCTCGGCCCGCGGCGCCTTCAGCACCACCCGCCGCGGACAGCGCCCGGGAGCGGAGCCGCGCTCGGAACGCGCCCCGAGCCCCGCAGCGGCCGCATCCGCACATCCCCGCATCCGCACATCCCCGCATCCCACATCCCCGCATCCCACATCCCCGCATCCCACATCCCAGCATCCCACATCCACACCTGGGGGCAGCCCCCGGCGCTCCCCAGGCCTCCCCGCCCTCTCCAGCCCGCCCCGCCGCCGCGGCCACTGACCGAACATCTGGATGTGGCCCTTGGTGATGGGGTTGAAGCTGCCGCAGGCCAACAGGATAACGTGGGTCTTGGTGGTCTCGGTCATGGTGCGGCCCTGCCCGGCCCCGCCGCGGTCTGAGGCTCGGTGCGGCTGCGGGAGGGAGGAGGGCGGGGGATGGAGCGGGGCCGGGCGGGAGCGGGGGCGGCGCCGCGGCTGCGGGAGCCGGGCCGGGGCCGCCCCTCGGCAGCGCGGCCCCGCGGGGTCCCGCACACGCGTGTGTGTGTGTGTGTGTGTGTGTGTGTGTGTGTGTGCGTGCTCTCGTGTCACAGGCCGCGGGGATAGCGGCACTCGGCCCGGCACAGCTGCGCCCGGGCACACACACAGGGATGGGCACGCATCGCTGTGTGTGCGCTCACACCCACAGAGGCGCAGCAGGGACACGCCGGCATCCCCAGGACTGAGGAGATGGAACGGGAGGCTTAGCCTGCAGATGAAGAGGCTGAAGGGTGACCTTATCACGCCCTGCAACTCCCTAAAAAAAGAGTGTAACCAGGTGGGGGGGGGGTCAGTGTTTTCTCCAGGGAGCCAGCAACAGGACAGGGACACATAGTCCTAGGCCAACAGAGGAATTTCTTCACAGAAAGGATGATTAGACATTGGAATGGGCTGCCCAGAGAGGGGGTAGAGTCACTGTCCCTGGAGGTGTTTAAGGAAAGGCTGGACATGGCACTCAATGCCATGATGTAGTTGACAAGGTGGCAATTAGTCATAGATTGGACTTGATGACCTCAGAGATCTTTTCCAGCCCAATTCTGTGATCTGCACAACTCAGTGCTCATGAGCAGCTACCTGTGTTCCCCCTGCTGCTCAGGTGGTCCCTGCATAAGTCTCCCAGCTGCTCCAGCCCCAGCACAACATTGCTGTAGCCCATTAGGGAAAATAACTTGTGGGGCTTCAGCTTCAACACATCAATTTCATTGCCTGAAAGACACCAACATTAAATAGATGCTATGCATTCACCAAAAACCAGACTTTACTGCAAGGCAAACTAGTACCAGACTACACAGCTGTCTAATTCTCTAAATGTCTCATTTTTAGGACTGCAGCATTGTTGTTCTTCTCTAAAGAAAATCCTTGCCCTGAGCAAGGGCCAGCAGAGCCCTCTCTGCCTACAGACACTAAGAAGAGCTGCATGCAGCTGCCTTCAGCCCCTTCCTGAAGGCTGTCCTGGCCTTATCTCTGGCTCCTACACATAGATTTTCCTCTCAGCAGGGAGTTTTTTGCCACCAACAGGTCTCCTTCATTTGTCTTCCTCCTCTGTCCTTAAGAGGACACTCCCCAGACATTAAATTCTGCCTTCTCATGGCAGAGGCTTTTAGCCCTACCCACAGCACTGTGCTGTGTTTCTCCTTGTCCTGCTAAGATTAATTATTAACAGTGCTTTGCTCAAAAACTTTTTCCCTCCCAGCTCAGCCAGGTGATGGGACACTCATCAGCCTGAGTGACATGAAGGAGCAAGCCCACTAGGGAATGAACCTAGGAAATGGGTGTTCCTCTCCTGCACATTCCCACTAAGGATGGTGTCCTACCTCCTTCCCTTTGGGGTGGTACAACTGCCCTGATATGAAATATGGGGTGTGCCCTTTATGAGAAGATTCTTCATTGATTCCTTTTATATAGAAGAGGCTGAAGTTGAGGTGAGATAGCTGAATTTTTTGTTAATGCTGACCCCATTCCCTGCCAATTTTGCATAGGGAATTTTGCAGGGGAGCATGTTTTCCCTTCTGCAGCTTATACAACCTGCAGCTGTAGGAGCATTAAGCGCTGCTGTTGCAGAAGGCACAAGTGGACAAAACTGCTGGTGGCCAAGTTCTCCCACTGCCTGGTGATGCCAAACACATCCCACTAGTCCTGACAGCTCCTGCCATGCAGCTGAATTCTCTGCCTGCTTTGTTTCACACTGGGGTTTGACCTTAAACACCAGTGAAAGATCAAGATCACCTGTCCCCATGTAGGTTACGCACTGCCTGGTCATGGTGGGGACAAGGTGGAACCCAGCACTGCCAGGCCATGTGAGGATGAGCTCTGGGCAGAGTCTGTAGCTCTTCCCTGACTTTCCTGCTGGATGGTGAGTGATGTGGTAAATCAGCTGTCACTTAGCAACGCTGCCGGCTGGGGAGCGGCGCCAGGTTTTGGTGCGGGAGCGACGCCTGCAAGGCTGTGCAGTGCTTATTTCACCTTTTCCCCTCAGTTTTTCCCACCCCAGCGTGTATTTTCTTTCACTTGCTGCTTTCCCTGAACATGTGGGTGCAGGTTTCCCATGGCTGAAGACAGCAGCCCCAGCTGCAGGAGCCATATGTCCCCTGCCAGCCTCCCTGGGGTTGTTGTGCAGTGCTGGAGCACCCTGAGACCCCCGGTGGATTTGAGCTCCAGCCCGTGGTGTTGAGCAGCCATCTGCCACCTGCAGAGCTGGCACAGCAGGACACAGAGGGGGCAGAGGGATGATTAGCTGGTGTTTATTCCCTGAGGAAGAAAGCAGCATGGACAAACGCAGGGACCTGCCTACACAGGGAGCTCATATCAGCGCTGCAAAAATCGTTGCCAATGGAACTTGAGACCTGTTAAGCACACCTGAAACATGGCCTGTGGCTCACACCAAGGGTATTTGTGCACATGGATTTGTTCAACTCTTCACCATCTGCACAGCCAGGCCTCAGGGTGCATGCAGCAGAAGGCAGGAAGATCATGAGGTTCACTGGGGTGAGGACCCCTCAGTTGTCCCAGCACTGCCTCTCACCTTGGCCCCCCTCTTGGGAGCAGGAACAGAAACCTTCCAGCTTTTAGGCTTTTAAACTGACAGCATGCGAACTCTTCAAAAGAACTCAAATCTATCAGTGAAAAGGACAATTAGAGGGGCTTAAACCATTTGTGAACCCATCCTGGCACATTTTGGAGCCTTTTCTGATAAGGGTTGAGAAGCACATTCAGTTCTGCTCCCCATATGCCAGCCCTATGACTCTAAGAAATTTTTGTAATGCAACAATGCACTTTAAAAGAAAAAAAAAGAAAGAGGCCTTTCCTTGAGAAGAAGCAAAAAATCTTGAATAAGGGAGTGCTCACCTGATGGCCCGGTTGGAATAAAACCCCTGGTTCCCACAAAGGCAGATTTTTAGTTTATACCCATTTTTGAGATATAATCTGAATATATCTAGCCAAAACTCAGGCTTGCAAACCCAGCCCATGGGAGGGAAGGGATTTGCAAATATAAAGAAGCCAGACTGAGCTGGCAGATTGGGCCAGCCAGACAGGCCAAGCTGACCCAGTTGCTAATGGAACAACAGCATAGATAAATGGAATAACAATAAATGGAATCACTCAGAGGTAGCTGCTTTGGTGGGAGCCTTGTTGAGATGGAGGGAGCTGCCAAACCCACGGTGACCAGGTCTGAGGCCACAAGGGGTGGGACAGCCTGGCCCAAAGGGAGAAATCTTCCACTTTGGATGACCCATTGTAAGAGCAGACACTCAAACAAGGAAGGAGTAAGAGAGGCTGAAAAGCAGCCAGTGAAAGACATGGCTGATAACTGAGGTTTGAAAACTTATGGGTAGCCTGGGGAGCTCTTCTTAGGGCTTGGTTTCTCAGGGCTTGGTTCCTCATGCACTGGAAGAAGATGCCAAAGAGTGCCATGAGATAAAGCTGAAGATCTATAGAGGCAGAGGACTGTGAGCTGACCCCAAGTGCTGTGCAGTGTTTCTGGGACACTGTGCTGACATTCCAGGCAATCTCCTGGGGAAGATCAGCCTGGGAACCAGCTTCTCTCCTGCCCACACTCAGCAACAGCAGCTGAGCACAGGCCACAATTATCTTGGCAGCCCTTTTAATGTTTCTGAGGCTACAGCTCAGATCAGTCTGTGCAGGTGGGATTGTGGCTGGGTTCCTGGGATGGGCAATGAGGCCAAGGCACTCAGCATGGATCCCTGGGAATGGCTGCTTGCTCTCTGTCTTCCAAAAGTGAGCTTTCTTCTAGTCAGTGTGAAAGGGTACTTCTGCTCAGAATGTGCAGCACTTACTCTCAAAAAATTAAAAAGAAATTTGTTGCTTTATGAATTATAAGGATTAGAAAGAATTTCTCTAAGGAATGAGGCCTATTTCATAATTTTTTCTTTCTTCTGGGTGATGTTTGCAAGGGAATAATGAAGACTTAACAAACCTCTACAAAGCTGAAATTCCTGAAGTTTTACATACAAGTTATATTTGGGGGAAAGAGGTTATTATTAGGGTAAGGTGAGGCTTTTGTCACTAACAATTCAAAATCTAGGTAGGATAATCTGAGATGACAACAAATACACTTTACTCATGATAACATAATTACCAATCAGGAAGAACAGAGGACAAAATTAGGATTTTTGTTTCTTCATTTGAATGCTATTGAGTGCTAATTCCCCACATCACAACATTTGGATTGAAATAATCACCAAACCTGCAGAGAATTTGATGTTTCATCATTCAGCTGTTGAGCTGTTCACTCATCTTTGCTTGATCCCAGGTTTTCATGCTGAGCAGCAGGAAAATGTGATGTCTCAAAGACATAAAAGCCAAAGTTTGGCACAGAGGCAGAGGACAGTCCAGTGCCACCTCTGTGCATGAAAATATCCACACCTGAATATATTTTCAATATATATTTTCAACCTGAAAAAATGTGGGGGACTTATTTTTGAAACATGATCATTCATTTTGTCCTCAGGTCACTTACAGTCTCAAATGACACAACTTTTATTAGCCAGACACCTCGTGATCATCTGATCCCAAATTTTCCTCTGCCTCATTTCTTCAGGCTGGCTCATTTGCTCAAATGGACACTGAACTCAGTGGGATTTTCCTGCCACAAAAAAACCAAATTGGAGCACAAATCAAGTCACCAAGTCAGCATAGGAGGTGGGACAACATGGGATAAATAGTGGAAATACTGTAAATATTGAGCAGTGATAGAATGTTGCACCCAGGTGCAAGGTTACTGCCTGATGTGCTCCATGCTGAGGTGAGCACTCTGTCCAGCTCCAGAGTCCCCAGCACAGGAAGAACATGGAGCTGCTGGAGTGAGTCCAGACAAGGCTACCAAGATATCAGAGGGATGGAGCAGCTTTGTTATGAGGAAAGGCTGGGACAACTGGGGTTGTTC